AAGTGCCAAACCCTGTCAGTCTCCAGAAGCAGATCCCCTCCAAACCACTCTTACGAATTGCATTGTCATATTTTTTAGCGAGTTTCCTCAGTTAAGTACCTTTGTGTTATCATTCAAAGAGAGGTCCACTGGGACGAGCTCATTAACAGTGTGTGCAACCGGGAAACAAGACCCTGGGATTCTTAAGGCGCAATCTGAAATTCGGCAACTCAAGCATGAAAGAAAATGCCTATAAAGCCTTTTTCCGGTATCTTTTAGAGTACGCTTCTACAGTCTGGGACCCATTTACGCAGAAAAGCATCGACAGGTTGGAGGCGGTCCAGCGACGGGCAGCCTGCTTTGTCCTGAACCGCTACAGAAACACCTCAAGTGTTGACAGCTTGATAGAAGCCCTGGGCTGGTTTACATTGGAAGAACGACGACGACTATCCAGGCTCACCATGTTGTACAAGATCAAAAATGGGCTGGTCCACTGCTCCGGCATCAAACAGAAACTCGTTCATCTTCCCCCTAGACAGCGACGAGGCCACGACAGACAGTTCCGGCTGGTAAAAAACAAGAACAAAGTACAGGGGCTCCTCATTCCTGCCGAAGACAATAGGGGACTGGAACAAGCTTCCAAAAGCAACAGTTAAGGTGGCTACACTCGACACATTTGTGTATATTGCCTCCTGTATTCCAACCCCCAGTTCGTAACACCAATGCTGAGTACCTCTTGCAAACAGTGAAGTATCCCCTTGAAACCCAACCACAGTAACATAGCGAACCCCTCTGAAACATAGGAGCCAGAATGATCAATTCATTGATCGTGCGCCCTCAAAATAAAGAAGAAGAAGAAGAGTACCGATATTTCATAGATTCCAGTAATTGTAATCTGTTAAAGGCACAAGATCCTTTTCTTTTTAAAAGTGTTTAATAATGACAATTCAATCGTTTTTAAATTTAAAATAATATATAATTATTAAATTGTTGTACACATTTTTCTCCGGGGAGGGGGGCACTTAACTTTCCCAGCGGGTATCTCCGCCCCAGAAAGATGGCTGAAAGAAACCCAGTGTACCAGCCATTTTGCTATCTTCCCTCTTTGCAAAATAGCGTTGTCTTTTTGTTGTGATTTGTTTTGTTTTTTTAAAGTATATTTTCTATTTTGTCCAAAATTTTTATTTTTTTTCGGGAAAAAAAAAACAACACTTTCTTAAAGAGAATTAAAAATTATTTTTTTTCTTTCAAGTTAAAATACGATTATCTGAAAGAGTCAACAAGCATCTCGGCAACAATCATCAGCAAAGTGACCATTCTAATCGCATGGCAAACACGTGATCACAATGGCGTCTCTCTTGCGTCCAATAAGACGGATGTATCGTCTACAAATACAATTGACATAACTTGAAGAAGAGTTAGGTTTCTTGTTGATGTTTTTTTCAATGAGATTTGGCACGCTGACGCGAAATGTGTTTTGTTCCCCTTAACTTATATTACCTAAATAGAATTTCAGCTTCAAAGTTTGAGGAGCACCACCGGAGGGGTTTATAACTTTCTTTCCAAGAAAATATTGGGACAAAACAGCAACCATTTGCTTTTTAAATTTTTTAAAATTTCTATTTTAAGGATAATTCACGCGTTTCACCGCAATAATTTGTACGGCTCCGCCCCCTTCACTGTCCAAATAGAAGAATGTAAGAAGGATATTGGTTAATGCAAGCAACTGTTGTTGTCACAGTGTAGATTGTTTGCCAATGGACCAGGCGTGTGTTTGTGAGGCTGCTGTGTGCATTAGGCAATCACCTACTTTCTTTAGCTACTCTTTCTGGTGTAGTCCAACTAGATACTTTCTGCTTCACCTCTTTTTTTTTCCACCACCACCGACTCCAATAAAGAAATGTAAAGTAGATTTTAAATAAATGCTAGTGAAACTTGCCTCAAGTTTTCTTCTCATTCAGTATTTCATATTTTTTTTTTATTACAGTGCGGCCAGTCTATAAAAGGGCGGCACTAAAGAGAGGGGGAGAGGGGTTAATGCTTTCAGTAATTTATTTTCCTAAAGGTTGCGCTCTGAGAACTTTGGTTATTCATGATTACATTTATATTTATAACTGGGAACAATAGTGTGTGACAGAGTCAAACGGGTGCGAAACAAAGCACTTGTAACAAATAGATTGTCACTGAGGTCCCAAGTTTAACCACGAGTCAAGGTTCTCCTGCGAGAAGTGCAGGCGAGTCAGCCATTCCAGGATCGGCCTCATAAGCCATTTGATGAAGTGTAGATTGATACTCCATCATCTCGCGAGGACGAAATGATGTCATATATAATATATATAGGGCGGGACGGTTGTTATTAAGGTTGGGGTGTTCCTTATTCAGGGCGGGGTAAGTATTTTTTAGGTTGTGGTGTTCCTTATTTTGGTGGTCTTTATTTAGGGCGGGATGGTTACTATTTAGTGCAGGGGTCTCAAACTCAAATCACCCGAAGGACCCCAGGTGGCAGAGTCTGATTGAGACTGGGGCGCACCATGTATTTTACAAAAAAAAGCGATTACAAAGTCAATAAAGTACACTTGTTACAATCTGCTTAACCTTTAGTAATAACAAATAAGGGTTCTAAAAAAACTAGGCTTCACTGTCTTCCTCCTACTCATTGTTGCCAGAGACCTGACAGCTCCTCTTACAAAGCTGAGCAACATTTGGCTTGAGTGAGGAAGCAGCTGAGACTCTCAGTGTAGCTTGAAGATGCTCATCAATAAGTTTGGCCCTGAACATCGACTTGATAAAGTTCATTGTCGAAAAGAGCTTTTCACGCAGATTAGGTACTGTGGAGAGTTCGGACCTCGACCGGTTCGGACCTGGAGGCGCCGACTGATCAAAGGGCCGGGCGCGTCAGATCTTACAGCAGGGTACCGGCCATCTGACCAGGGTATTTCCCTGGGACGACTGGTTTGGTAACCTGGAGGCGACAGGGGTGGGGGTAGTGACCGACTGATCAAAGGGGCGGGCGAGTCAGATTACAGACCTGGGAAAGAAACTCTATGGACCAGGGACTTATCAATAGGGACCTCAGGACAGGACTGGACAGAACTCTGCCGGACAGTCAAGGAGAGCTCCGACGGTAGGAGAAGAGGGCAGTCAGAGTTGCGAGATGAGAGAAAGTATAAGCGAAGTGTCAGCCTAATAAAGAACAAGATTAAAATCATCAAATGTTATCGCCTGAGTTGCTTCCTTAGTGAATACCAGATATAGATGAAGGTTAGCAGAGCGCAAACAAGGTTCCTTACAGTACTCAATAAAAAGCACGTGATGATCCGGTTGAACAACCTGCAAAACTGCGGAGAGGTGGCGGACAATGCTGTCATACATTGGCCATGCTTGTATGTTCTTCCAGTTACCTCCCTGAACTTAGATTTGCGCTGAAGATCAATCAGCTCCCTTTGAAGCACAAAGACGGGTTGGGGAGGGGGGGGGGGTATCTTCCACATTAAAGTATAAAGGGTCAGAAAAAAGTTTTAAAGTGGCTCTGTGTGTTGTGAAGTCTAAAAAATGTGATCAAATTTTTCCTGTAGATTTGCCATGGCATCAGAATACTTGCTACTAAGCTATTACTGAATGGTGTGCCCGAGCCCATGATTGCTTTGCATGTTGGGAAATTGCTGAGGTTTCTCTAAGAACCATAACACACGTTTTGTGCAGAATGCCCTGACATTGTCATGGGCACCACTGACAAGCTGCCCCTGGTCTTGTAACTTCTTGTTAATTACATTCAGCTCCTGTGTAATGTCAACAATAAAAGCCAAGTCCATGAGCTATTTGGGGTCACTTAGTACAGGAAGAACTACCCCATCCTACTCCATGAAAACTTTAAATGCAAAAACGTGTTCAAACAGTAGGCGGGGAGCAGGCCATATTTATGAATTATTGATGCGAAGAAAGAAGCTATTGTAGGAAAAATGAATTTTGATCTTTTTATATTTTTTTGTGTGGTTAATCCTATATTAAAAGTGATCAAGCTGACAGGCTCGGAATATCGCTCACTCGTAAACATTAACGGCAACTTAATAGGATTCTTTTAACTGTGTCAAATTGCTACGATTTGCACTAAACTCTTCTATTATTTCGGGTGGCCAAGTATCGTCTTGCGGGAACGTGGGCCGCGAGTTTGAGACCCCTGCTATAAAGGCCCATAAACAAGTCTAAAAATACACATTTAAAGCCCATAAACAAGTCCATAAACGGACATTCAAAGCCCATAAACAAGTCTATAAATGGACATTCAAAGCCCATAAACAAGTCTATACATTGACATTCAAAGCCCATAAACAAGCCTATAAATTGACATTCAAAGCCCATAAACAAGTCTATAAAGGGACATTCAAAGCCCATAAACAAGTCCATAAACGGACATTCAAAGCCCATAAACAAGTCTATAAAGAGACATTCAAAGCCCATAAACAAGTCTATAAAGAGACATTCAAAGCCCATAAACAAGTCTATAAAGAGACATTCAAACCCCATAAACAAGTCTATAAAGAGACATTCAAAGCCCATAAACAAGTCTATAAAGAGACATTCAAAGCCCATAAACAAGTCTATAAAAAGACATTCAAAGCCTATGAAGGCCTACTATCTTTTAGCTGAGGCGATTGACTTTAGTTCAAGCTTCCAAAACGTTCATCCAAATCTTCAAACCAAACATTTTCATCTTTCGACCCAGGATTGTATTTCTATTTTGTAAACGTCCGAGTCAATAAGTTTAGGCCACGACACATTGCGAAGCCAGGTGAACAACGACCACTCGCTGAAATGTGTCCAGCCATTCAATGACCCGTGTTTGCCTCACCAATGTTTGTCGATGTGTATTGACCAAGTTAATCACCTGCAAATTACCGCAGATGACGTTTTGAATGAAGTGCATTGACGGGCGGGTGCAGTGGCGTAGCTTAAAGTTCTATCTCATGTAAATATTTGACGGGGGACTTGGTATATAATATGTGTGCTGGGGAGATCTGTTTACGTAAAACTTAAAAAGCAACACAGTTTTATAAACAGAAATCTTAAATTGGGAAATTTAACGGTAGTCGTGTACATTATTTAAAAAAAAACAAAACATTTTTATATTTGCACATTGAGGCAATGTTTATTTACTTACTCTATTCTTGGCTGAGTGTGTGAGTGTCCATTTATTGAAATGACCTTGAATCACGCCGCTAAATCGTCACATAAGGATAGTGTCAACAGAGCTTCTATATAAATAGATAGATTTGATGATCACCTCAGCATCCGTTTACAGCCACCTCCACACGTGTCTGTCTAGCGACATCAACCGTCGAGCCATGAAACTACTCATCTGTTTGACTGTTGTGAGTCTGGTGTGTTACGCCTCGTGTCAACGTGGACGTAAGTTTTCGGACATTTTTTTTTAAACTTGTTATTTTTAAAACAACTCTTAAGGTTTGCTTCTGTTGCACACCCATGTATCGCTTTCACGTCAAATCTGGTTTGTTTTTTTTTGTTCGTTTTTTGTTTTGTTTTTTAAAATCGTTATTGCCTTACTCTAGAGTGCGCGTCTATACAAAAGAGTTTTTAAATCCTTGACATTTAACTTCGCTTTGGTGTGTGGGCGGCTGGCTGGCAAACTCTTCCGACAGCTTTTTGACCCACTTCCCGTCAATCTATCGAGCTGAAACCTGACACATAGACTCGTCGCCAATAACAACACATTTTTTTTTCTTCAAATTTTCAGCCCCACCCCCAAGCCCCGAAAAATCAGTTTTCCTGTTCTTCAAGATGAAGATGAAGGAAATATGATTACACTGATTTCACGAGAAAAACAAATGTCCTATAACTGCGCTGAATAAGATTCTTTATTTTTTTTACAAGATTAAAAATTCACAAGAACGTAATTGTTTTCTTTGGTTTTCTGAAAAAATTTGTGAAATAAATCTGCGGTGTTAATGCGGGTGGGACATTAGAGTTTAATGTAGCTCAAAAGTGTGAAAACAAATTTGCTGTAACGAGCCCTACGGTATGGTGGGGGGGGGGGGGGGGGGGGGGGCGAAAAAAAGGGGGGGGAAGCCCTACGGTATGGTGGGGGGGGGGGGGCGTGGGGGGACGAAAAAAAGGGGGGGGGCGTTACATACGATTCTTATTAAGTGCATTACTTTTACGCCTACTTTTAAATATAATGTTGAGGCCCACCGTGCAATTGACTGATATTAAATTTTATAAAGCAATTAGTACGAAAAACTTTGTGCTTTAGGTATTTGTGTCATTATTAATATATTAACATGACGCCAGCACAGACTATTTGGTGACCACATTTTAACGGGGTATGGCTGCTTCAACACCACATTAAGCCAGCGCTGACCGTCTTTCTTGGAATCAAATAATGATTATATTTGTTGACCATTGTTGGCGTCATTCTCTTTTTTTTTTAACACACTAAGTTTAATTTGCTTCATGAAATGTAATTTTTTTGACTTAATAAAGTATTCATTATTGCTCTTATTTTTAAAAAAATTGGTGTCCCAAAATGTGGAAAATAAATGCCCTACAAATGAATAATTTCAGTTTTTATTTAGATTTAAACAAATTGTAAATGTACTCTGTTATTTAAGTTGTGATTGATAGTGACATTGTCATTAAATCATTAATGATCTCACGCTGAGAAGGTGACTTTTTTTTTTTTTAGTTTAGTTGACATAACCATGTCAGTGAAGAATTTGATGATGTTGACGACCATTATTATTATCAGTGACAAATTATTATTATTATTATTATTATTTTACTTTCTAATGTTATTTTAATTATAATTACTATCATTGTTATTATTATAATTTAATTACCATCTCTTGAGATGGTTACTGTATCCGTAGCTTAGTGACTTCGTTCCATGAGAATAAAGCCTAATGTAAACAGACGTGTGCATTTCTCTTATGCTGACAACTGTTCAATGCTATCGTTACGGTGGAAGAACACTATCCACTGCAGTACATGACGTGGGCGTTGAATTATTCTGTTCGCATATTTCACAGGTCAGAGGGCTCCTGTCCGCCAGCCGTCATCATCTGAGCCACAGCAAGGCTCCGCCCCTGCCCCTGGACCAGCCTTTTTTGTTGATGGGCAACCCTTTAACGTGACCGACCTGGGTGAGCCGACCCAACAGCCTGGCACTGCCGACCAGAGGAAAGAGGGAACCGTGGGCAGAGGTCGTGGACAAGGCATAAGAAATCGATTTACTAGAAGACCATGAAACTATATTATATAACCAAAGGAAACTATAAAGGACTATAGAAAACTATACCTAACCATAGAAAACTATAGAGAACTATAGAATCTATACCTAACCATAGTAAACTATAGAAATCTATTCCTAACCATACGAAACTATTGGAAACTATAAAGAACTATAACAAACTTTAGGATGGCCATAGAAAACGTTTTTTGTTTGTAAGTTAGAAGACATTCGTGTTAACATGTAGGATGTCTTTGTCCTGAAAATCTTTAATAAATGCGCTTATTATGAATAACGTAGTGTTGATTTTGGAATTTTTTTTTCTTAGGCTTTCGGGTCATTTTTTTTTACACTATTGATACATTAACTTTATTCACACAAAAATAAGAACCCCCCCCCCCCCCCAAAAAAAAAAAAAAAAAAAAAAAAAAAAAAAAAAAAAAAAAAAAAAAAAAAAAAAAAAAAAAAAAAAAAAAAAAAAAAAAACAAAAAAAAAAACAAAATAACAAGCAAAAAAAAAAACAAACAAAAAACCCCTTTGAAGGTACACAAGAAGTGATAAGAATCCATAGTGTATTCAGCAATGACATACGTTTTCGGTCACATCTAGACGGGTGGATAGACGAGAGCATATGAACGAAGCATTGTATGGGGAAAACCCTGAAAAAAAAAAAGAACACAACAAACGACGAATGTATCGACAAGAAGCCTTCATCAGCGACAAAGAATATTAAAAATCAGATTTAAATTTCTAAAAAAAAAAAATAACACTCTGCAGTACTGTAGCAGCCGAGAGGTACAAGGTATAACTTTCTTGTCCCTGCGTGTCTATTGCAATTTCTTTTTAAGATGATCAGTGCGAGTACTTTTCTTCAAGATGCTAAGTATGAGTACTTTGCTTCAAAATGATGAATGCAAGTACTTTGTTTTAAAGGATCATTGCGAGAACTTTGTTTTAAAAAATCAGAGCGAGCATTTTTTTAAATGATCAGTTCCAGTACTTTGCTTCTTGAGGATAAGTGAGACGACTGATTCAAGATGATCAGTGCGAGTTCTTTGTTTTACAATGAACAGTGCGAGTACCTTGCTTCAAGATGGTCAATGTAAGCACTTTACTTCAAGAGGATCAGGGCGAGTACTTTGTTTTTAAATGAACAGTGCGAGTACCTTGCTTCAAGATTATCAGTGCTACTACTTTGTTTTAAAGTTATCAGTGCAAGTACTTTTTAAAAAAAAATGATCAGATCAGTGCGAGTGCTTCGCGTTGAATAGTACAAGTACTTTCTTTGGTCATTACGGGTACATTGCTTTGATCATTACGAGTGCTGTGCTTTGATCAATAAGATTACTTCTCTTTGGTCACTACGAGTGCTTTGCTTTTATCAGTACGACTACTTTGCTTAGGTCATTACGAGTGCCTTGCTTTGATCATTTCGAGTACTTTGCTTTGGTCAATAAGAGTGCTTTGCTTTTATCAGTACGACTGCTTTGCTTAGGTCATTATGAGTACTTTGCTTTGATCATTGCCAGTACTTTGCTTTGATCAGTAAACGCACTTTTTTTTTATCATAGCAAGTACTTTGCTTTGGTCTTTACGAGTACTTTGTTTTGGTCATTACGAGTGCCTTGCTTTGATCAGTACGAGTACTTTGCTTTGCTCATTATGAACACGTTCTTACCGTTAGTTCTGTTCTAAACAGGCTTTTCTACTTCTGTGTTAACATTCCTCAAATACCTTCCACCCCAACTTCTTGGCATATTGCACACCTAATAGATGTCACACAAAAATCACAGGTCGATAATTCTGTTTAGGCCAAGCTAGAGATGTTAAGAATGCCCTTTGTTCGGCCAAACCGGTTATCGTTTGACATTATGCGTTTCGCCTAAGCCCAGGAAGAAAATGTCTCTATGAGTAATATGTATGTAGGTTATGGCAACATCATTTACTTTAAAAATATAGTTTTGCTGTGTCGGGATGTAATCAGAGGCATAAGAAGTAGGGTGGCTAAGGGAAGTCAGCTAGGGGTTGAACTTTTTTTCCTAATATTATGGAGGAATGTCCTTTTGGGCCAACTGCAAGAGTTTTTTTCGCGGGAGGGGCGTCACAAATCTAGACTGTGCCGATCATATTTTTTTCTTTTCAATGTCTATAATCCGTAACAGCGTTTGAGATCAGAGCCGTTTCATGACTTTAGAAGCCCTCTTCCATTTTTGTTTTCTTCTGTTCCCTTGCATTTCAAGTTGATAGTTTTAAAAATTCCGAGAACCTTCCCCACTGGTGAATGCAGGGCGCGCGCGACGTCACTGTTTGAAATAAAATTCTAAATTATGGATTCATCAAGTCATGGATAATATTTCACATTGTTAGTTTTATCTCATCTTTAGCTTTTCTTTAAAGCGAAGTCTCACATTTCCATCGACCACGTCACTTTAGGAGGTCTTCGGATGTTTGTTTGTCTGTTTGTTTGTTTGTTTGTGTAGAACACAGAATTAATACAGCGGCATAATAAACAAATGTAGAATTTTTAGTAGGATCATTGGACTTAATGCCTCTGTTCTTATATTGACCCCATAATATATACAGTGAGAAAGTAAGTGAGGCTATTCAAAACAACACATGAAAAGCAGAAACTACAATGAGGTTCACAATTATATTTTTTTTCCCTTCCATTTCTAAAAGAAAAAAAGATAAGAAAGATGTCATATTGTGATGGCATTTGATACTTAAAAAAACAACACAACAACACAATAACACAACAACACAACAACACAACAACACAACAACACAACAACACAACAACATTGTTATGTGTCAGAATGTGCGCTTCCTGTCATTTAGGTGGCGATGGCAAGTGCCGTATTCTGCAAATTGCTGTGCCGCTGGATTACTATGGAAGAATAATCTAGATATAGAAATGATATATGTCTACAGACATGCACAGAAATGATATATGATTAAAGACAGGCACATAAATGATACATGACTATAGACAGGAAGAGAAACAATATAGGACTACAGATAGACACATAAATGATATAGGACTACAGACAGGCACGTAAAGTGATATAGGATTAGAGACAGGCACGTAAAGTGATATAGGACTACAGACAGGCACGTAAAGTGATATTGGACTACAGACAGGCACGTAAAGTGATATAGGACTACAGACAGGCACGTAAAGTAATATAGGACTACAGACAGGCACGTAAAGTGATATAGGACTACAGACAGGTACAGACATGATATACGGCTACAGGGAGGCGTAGAAATAATATATATGGCTACAGACTGGCAATAAATTTGATATAGGACTATAGACAGGCACAGAAACAATATAGGACTACATATTGGCACAGAAATGATCCATGACTACAGACAGGCATATACATTATACATGACTACAGACAGGCATAGAAAGTGATATATGACATAGTTTAGGTTTCAATGGAAACGGAAAAGTTAACTTTCCTTTGATTTTCGGTTTCGGCCGAAAATGATTAAGAGCCTAGGTCGTCTACCAGAGGTCAAACCGAAATTCTGCCTGTCTGTCGGTCGGCAATCCGATATTCAGTATTTCTCGACGTCTTGTTGTCATTATATGATATTTGACTAATCCTCTGCCAACAGTGCTCACAGCTGCATGATTAACCATTTGTTCCTAGGGTGGATAAACACAGAAAAAAGTCGTACGGGGTGCGCTCTTTTGAAGCAATATCGCCAACATTATGGGGAATTGTAAATGATAAAAAAATCATTTAAGAAACAATTTACAACTTTTTAAAAAAAAATAGCTTTCGGAGGACCAGAGCGCAGTGAGCATGTTAGAGTGGCATGGATACCGGTGCGGTTTAAATATCAAATGAATCAATCAATCAATACGGTATTACCAAACATAACATTACAATTAGGCTTAGGCAAAGGTCAAATATTTTTTTCAAGAAAAATCAAGCCATCTGAGGGAATGGTAACATTTCTATTAAAATTTGGTAACCCTAGGTTTATTCAAGTCATTCGTGCGTGCCATTCATTGTGATTAATCATTATCATGCTTATAATAAATGTTGTCACAGACAAAGGTAAATAATTCGGAAAAACTTCTTTTTTTTTCCCCTGAACTGCAGCATTCGTTTGTTAGACTTCCATTACTAACCACTTAAGGCTGAACTAATTGCCATTTAACGACTCTTACTGCGAGTGTGGGTTCGTAACGATTATTTATGGCCTACGGATTACTTACTAATAATAAAATGATTATTGATAATGTTGACATTTTTTTTTTATTGCGTCACTGTTTCACGACAAAGTTTGTTAAAATGTTATACTGAGTCATATATCTTTCGGTTTCGGTGTCGGCCGAAAGTATCGTTCATCTTTTGGTTTTGGTCGGAAATCATTGTTCATTGTCGCTTCGTTTTCGGCCGAAACCATAAAATCACATTCGGCCAGTCTTTAATTTATAATAAGCTTGTAAAAAAAACAACAAACAATAAGTTTATACCAGGTGTTCTATTTTGAACTTAAAGAATTTACATCTGATGATCTGCTCAGAGATCTGGTAGAATTTATTGACGGGGAGGTGGTGGTGGAGGCCTCTGTCCTCCTGGTGGTGGAGGTGGTGGAGGCCTCTGTCCTACTGGTAGTGGAGGTGGTGGCAGCCTGCGTTCTCCTGTTCGTGGAGGTGGTGGTGGTGGCAGCCTGTGTCCTCCTGGTGGTGGTTGACTGTGATGTCCTTGTGATGGCGGAGGAGCAGTAGGATTGCTAAGAAGCAAAGGAGCATTACTGAAGGCTAAAAATGCTAACAGGTCAGCACCAGTAACGAGCACAGGCTCTTGGCGAGCTACACGTTGTCGTGCAGAATCAAAGACGCCGATAGGTCTTCTACCATCTTGTCGGTCAGGGCGTCTCCCCTCTGACTCACCCGGTCTTCTGCCATGCTGTCTGTCAGGGTGCCTCCCAACTGACTCTTCCGGTCTTCTGCCGTGTGGTTTTCCTTCTCTTGGTCTTCCTTCAGAAATTCCAAACGCAGACAAATTTTGTCCGACACTGCCATTAACATTTGGGAGCACGGAAACGTCAGAGACGTTTGCTGGATTATCTGCAAAATTGAAATATAAATGCTTTTAACTATTTTTTGTGTGTGTAAATTTCGGAAAAATAATAATTCGTGTACATAAAGCCACCACAGTTTTTTTTTGCATGTGAATTTGACATCCCTTAAGCGTACAAATTTGGTTGTCTTTCTTTAAGTATTTATTTAAAAAATAGCTTTGAGATAGGGCAATTTAAAATGTTAAACATTTGTCTAACACTGGAAAAACAAAAAAAATTTACAGCTCAGCCTTTTAGACAAATATGGACCATTTCTTTGAACAATAGACCTAATCTACATAAAGTTACGTTAAACTTTACATTTCACCTGGTTTACCGTACCTGAAAGCTGACCGTAGGTTAGGCCTACTACCCAGAGGAAGGCAATGCCTGCCCGTACGTTCATAGTTGACCCGTCGATCGGAAACATCACATTTGTCTGGCTGCTTTGAGGTCCTTATATAGCAGAAACTTTCATTTTTTTGTATATAATCGTCTTATACGTGAGAACTTTTCATTCCATAACAGCATTGTGTGGACAAATACAAATGTTCACGTGATGAAACATGGAACAAAATCAATTCGCCGTTTTGATTCTCACACGTGTGTGTGTGTGTCTGTGTGAGCACACCTGTTTTCTTTGGTCAACATTTATAAAAATTGCTGGTAAATAGATACAGTCGTGTGTGAATTATTTTTTTTAAAACGCTTGATCGACAGAGAAGATTATGTAACACTTTATGGGACGGTGCATCGAAAATGTTGGCGTATAACTACTTACCAAAAGTAGGTTTAAAAAATGTTTTTTTTACTATGAGTAGCAAATGAATTTTTAACACTAAATATCTACTCACTTTATCAGAAACATTTTTTTAAAACGAAAACTAGTTTTGTATAACGTGATACATTTTGATTAATTAACTCAATCGCTGCAATCTATTTGTATCACTCATTAAACTTATGTTTACATACATGGTAACTAATGTAGCTCTACACTCGAAAATTAAGAACAGGCTAGAATGTTAGAAGAGAAAGTGCCCTATATAAATCTGATAGGCCAAACGGTTTCAATGGACAAAATAAGAATAAGAGACGTGTAGGACCAGTATATTTTTTTTTAATGTTAGATACGTTGATATAAATTATATCAAGGCGAACATGTGGTATCGAGAGTTTGTCACTATCGGATGAGCGGAGTTCTCTAGTGGAGACAAAGGGCGCCCTGAGCGTTTTGAGATAGGACGGTGCCAGGTCATGCAAGCAGCGGTAGCACAGGGTTGCAATTGTGTACTCTATGCGACCGCAGACCGGCAGCCAGTGCAACTCTCTCAGAAGTGTTTCAGCATGGTTGAATTTGCGTTTGCGAAGAACACTGCGAGCCGCATTATTCTGTGCTTTTTGAATGTTATCCAGGAGCGTAGCTGTAAGACCTACAATGACAGCATTGCAATAGTCCATGCGTGATAGCACGAATGCAGACATCAGCCTCTTTGATGCATCAAGCGTAAAGAAAGGTCTGATATGACTAATTCTGTGCAGTTCTAGAAAAATTGCCTTGGAAAGCATGTTAATGTGATCTTCCATAGTTAGTGTTTTGTCTAAGTAGACAACCAGGTTTCGCACGGTTTGACCAGATCAGATAGCAACAAATAAGATGGTACCAGACAAGATGGCCACGTAAGCAGTCCAGATAGCCGCAATTCAGATGTCCCCAGATAATAAGGCCACAGACCAGATCAGAGGAATTATCTTTTAGGTATATTTTTTGCAGAATCAAGATGGCTCACAACAAAAGTGACATAGTTATTCACCAGTCTGAAGTGACCCAAGAATGTGAGATCAACCAGAATTTAACTGGGATGTGGTTTTCGAACAGATGGCCCAAGAATAAATGATTCACCAATGTCCAAGATTTTTGGAAGTATTCCGACGATGGTTTGATAGTGACTAAATCTTACAGCCATGCAAATGAATGCTTAAATGAAGGTGGATGACTATTTAAAAAATTAAATTTAAAATGCACTGCCTGTTTTATGTCCACTATTTTCTTTTGATTAAATAAATTGACAAAAAGTGAAATCTTTTTTTTTTTTTTAATTTAACGTAAATGAAATTTTCGGGATAGATTTACTCATAAAAAAAATCTCCCCATGGTTCGTTTTCCATTGTTTTCTTTTTAATTAAAATAAGTTTTAATGTATTTTAAAGGCAGTGTAATGGGTTTATGGATTTTGCAAACATTTTCATTTGATTTATGATCTATTTGTAAGCATTAACTCTGTTTTAAAAATTCCATTTAACATTTCAGTCTAATGGCCATTCTCGGCAACTTTTGTCTCAAATCTAAAGCTTGTATTAAAAATGAGCTTCAAAAATATTTTAATGGAACGCGTCTCATCAGTTTGATACGTTTAGCATCTTTTTAAATACTTCGAATTTCATTCAAACGTTGTAATATTTTAGAGAAAAAAAATACATTAACTAGTAAATGCGCTGCTTTACAGTTCTTTAATGGAAAAAATTAGCACACACACACACAGACACACACACACAAACTTACGACCCACATCGCCCACAAACAAAGAAACTTATGTTGATTAACCTGATGCTGGTTTGTTTCTTTGATTGTTTGTTTTGGTTTTTTAAACACATTGACACCCTCCCCCCAAGCAGAGACCACAGTTTAACATTTGAGTAAGGAATTTGGGGTTGTTGCCCCCCCCCCCCAGCTCGTACTAAGTTTTAAGTTGCTAAAATGACTAGGAGTGGCTCATACTGACATGTGAACATGCATGATAAAACTGGTCTTGTTTGAAGACATGCGATGTCTAATAAATACGTGTTCATTTGATCATTGCATCCCAAGGGCAAAGCCTCACAGGTAACAGCTCTTCTAAAATGAATCAGCCAGTCTTGAGGCCAAGTCAATCACGTTTGGTAAACTACCAAATATTTGAACACATCTCTCGGCCCACGTCCTGCTGACCACTGAATGGGTTTCCCCAAGTCAACCTGACCCTCTTTGTGACAGGCACAAGGCACGACACGTCGACTTTATAGTAAATCTCGAACCTGTATCTTATGTAAACATCTGAAGCTGACGTCACCTCACAAGCAGAGCGAAATGTGTTTTATTGATTTTTTTGTTGTTGTTGTCTGCGTAAAACACTACATGTTCGTTCTTTTCATCATCTGAATTAAAGGAACGCATGCCATTTCCCAGTAACACGCGTGCGATACTCTAGCAATACACCTGTCATATTCCAATAATACGCATGCCATATTCTAGTAATTTACCGAAGCCTTGGCGCACAACTCCTTCTCTGACATCAATCTACACAAATACCTTCAGACGCAAAAAATATAGTACCTGGAATAAGCGATATCCATCCATTCCAGGGGTAATCGAACTACAGCCCGCGGGCCGGATCCAGCCCACAACGTCAAATTGAATTTGCTTGATCAAAAGTATGGAAAACCGATGTTGTGATGCAATACAAATATTATATTTGAACAACTATGAGACCTTACACGTACGGAGACCCTCTGGCTGCTATGCGCCTTAAATTTACCATTTTAAATGTTAAATTATTGTATTTAGATTTCCTTGTACATTACAGACCTGATTACTCCCGACCTACTACAATCGTACAATATCGTCTCAAAAACGTAAAATACAGTATTTTACTAGTAAATAAATAAACATACTGTATACATAATAAATGCAATAACTACTTGCATAGAGGTGCCTAGTGGGATTGAATTTAGCTGGCGTTAAAAAAAGTTCACTCGTAAAAGGAGATGGCCGACTTTTATGTTGCAACATGCGTTATCTTTGTTTTGCAGACGTGGATTTGCTATAGATATTAATTGATATTGAGTGGACGTTCGGATCACATTATCACAGTCTGTAACTGGTTAAAAAAAAATTAGTTGCTAGTGAAATTTAACGTGGTTCAAACTTGAAGTCAGCTCAGCATAAAACAAGATGTTTTTTAAATTAAATGATAAAATCATTTAAAAAACTTACCAAGTAACTTGAGATTTATTTATTTTTTTAGGAAAAACTGGTAAAAAAAAAAAGAACCAATATCGATTAAGCATATTTTCGCCTATAAAAGTCTGATAACTACGACAAACTGTAAATGGGTGAAAGATAGAGCAGTGTTGGAAACATACGGGGGTATTAACAATTGTACTCGCTCCGGTTTGTCGAACAAATTATGTCACAAAAGTACACCAAACGGCAAAGGAGAAAACAAAAAAGGGAAAATTGACTAAAATTGTCACAAAGGCGACTATGCTGATATTATAGTTGCCGTGACTAGTGGGCTCATGATGAGAAAACGCAACTATCATAACGAAAATGTAGTAGTGTTCATTTTATAGACTTGAATATTTAGACCACACACCCCCTCCCCGGCACACCGGTAGACAAGATCTCCCACATCAACCCCCTTCCCCCCCCCCAACCTCCCCGGCACATCAGTAGACAAGATCTCCCACATCAACCCCAACCCCACCCAGGCAAACCGGTAGACAAGATCTCCCACATCAACCCCATCCCCTCCCAGGTAAACCGGTAGACAAGATCTCCCACATCAACCCCATCCCCTCCCAGGCACACCGGTAGACAAAATCTCCAACATCAACCCCACCCCTCCCTGACACACCGGTAGACAAGATCTCCCACATTAACCCCACCCCTCCCTGGCACACCGGTAGACAAGATCTCCCTCCTCAACCCCACCGCCTTCCACTCTCAGAACAAACGTAATACGTGGTGCAACCTACGTCTGTGTGGTACAACTTACGTCTGTGTGGTGCAACCTACGTCTGTTTTGTTCAACTAACGTCTGTGTGGTGCAACCTACGTCTGTGTGGTGCAACCTACGTCTGTGTGGTGCAACCTACGTCTGTGTGGTGCAACTTACGTCTGTGTGGTGCAACTTAGGTCTGTGTGGTGCATTTACGTCTGTGTGTTGCAAATTACGTCTGTGTGTTACAACCTACGTCTGTGTGGTGCAACTTACGTCTGTGTGGTGCAACTTACGTCTGTGTGGTGCAACTTACGTCTGTGTGGTGCAACTTACGTCTGTGTTGTTCAACTTACGTCTGTGTGGTGCAACTTACGTCTGTGTGGTGCAACTTACGTATGTGTTGTTCAACTTACGTCTGTGTGTTACAACTTACGTCTGTGTGGTGCATTTACGTCTGTGTGGTGCAAATTACGTCTGTGTGTTACAACCTACGTCTGTGTGGTGCAACTTACGTCTGTGTGGTGCAAATTACGTCTGTGTGTTACAACCTATGCTGTGTGGTGCATTTACGTCTGTGTAGTGAAAATTACGTCTGTATGTTACAACCTACGTCTGTGTGGTGCATTTACGTCTGTGTGGTGCAAATTACGTCTGTGTGTTACAACCTACGT